CTAAAGTTGTACTTATAAAATGCATGAAGTCTGTATTCCTTAAAAGGTTTCTTTGGGGGGGGGAGGATAATAGTGGGAATTGTAGAGGGAAGAGGTAGAGGGTGGGGTAGAGGGTGGGAGAGCAGGTACAATGAGAAGAATCACTATGTTCCTAAAGTTGTAGTTATGAAATGTATGACGTTTGTATTCATTAAATAAAAGGTTTCTCAGGGGAAAAGGAGACTAAAGATTTAAACCTCAAAAAATGATTATTCAGATATTATTAAATGGCCTGCCTTGCTTACTTAAAAAAAACAAACAAACAAACAAACAAACAAAAAAAAAAACAGTGATCCACACTACCATGAGAAGTTGGCAGGGCAACATGGAATTCTTTAAACTCTCTCTATATATAAATATAAATATAAATATATATATATATATATATCCTATATCACAAGATCAAGTGACAATTTGGCTTTTACACTGCTGTTGTGTGTAGCAATACTGGTGAAATGCAATACTATAAGAAATTACTTAATTTTAATCTCTGCAAGTGTCACAGTCTGGATTTGTCACTTCATTTACCAGGAAGCCTTTAGTACTTAAAAATCACAGGATTAATTACTTTCCTACTTAAAGAAATAAGTACAATTTCTTGTAAAACATCAAAATGAAAGCAAAAGCTTTTGATCCAATGATACACAGACATGATTACTTCTGGAATTAGAGAGAAGGTAAACACCGAGAGGAAACAATGACACATCAAAGGATAACAAAGCAATATAAACATAAATTGACGAAGTTAGTTTTCCTGGAAATTTAAAATTATATCTGCTTGACTCTAGACAATAAGCGAAGTGAGTCTACAGTTGCAGATGTTTGACAGTAGCACTGAAGAGGCCGGCTAAGCCTCTGAACCTTGGCAAGGAGCTAATGTGTCCACGGCACAATGACAGCCAGTGACGTGAACACCAACATACTGTCCCCTCCCCCCCCCCCCCAATAGCTCTGCCTTCTGTTTCCAGGCTTCAGTCTTATTACCCCATCCCCTCTTTGGTCTATCTCAGTGGCAGGGACTATCTCAAAAGAACTAACCAATCACAGATATCTGCAGTACTACAGTAAATTGGCATAAGAGCTTGTTTGCAAAGATCAAAGTCTGATCACTCACATTTAACTTTGTTCCCTTTCCCAAAAGGCTAACAATAACAACTAGAAATATTATCAAGAGGGAGGGGAACTGAAGGGAAATTTTTGACTGCTTCATATTCTCCGCCTCTCTGATTCTGGAAGTACACGATTTAAGAGGAAAGAGCCTCAGAAGACATTCCATTTATCAGGCCTGATTATGGCTTTAGCTTTAGTTACATTAGATTGTCGACTGATCCCCAAGTTAACCGCAAACTCCAAACTCTATTCCTTTGCTTGTGCTATTCTAATAAAGCCTGTCTTACCTTTGACTATATGAAGGAAATTCATTCACAGTCTAGAATGAATGTCATCTGCTTTCAGGAGACACTGTAGCAGACTGTGAAGGACCTGGCATACTTCTCTCTGCCCTTCTTCCCTAGCAACAGATTCTCAGTTTTTAGCCTTATGGTTAGTATTTAAAGAGCAGCCTATGAGGAAGTATACATAGGGATCAAAGAAATATCCTGGCTAGGACTCTGCCCTCCATACTCTGATAATGCAGGCATGCTAAGTAGGCACTAACTCAGCAAATATTAAATGCCTACTTGTATTTATTATTGCTGCTGCTGTATTAATGGTATTATGGACAATATTATTATAATGTAGTAATATACAATATATCTGGAAATATAATAAATAGATCAATCATATGACCCAGCTATCCTGCTTCTGGGTAAGTATCCAATGGAAATGACATCAGCATATGAAAGAGATACCTTCATTCTCATGTGCTTTGCAACATCATTCATAATTGCCAAGCTATAGAAAACCTAAGTGTCCATGGATAAATAATGGATAAGGAAAATATGGTATACATACACAATGGAACATTAGTCAGCCATCAGAAGGAATGAAATCCTGACATTAGAGTTAAAATAACTGAAATTGGTAGTCATTACATTAAGTGAAAGAAGTGACACACAGAAAGTTAACACGTGTTCTCTTTGATACATGAAAGTTAAAAATGACAGTCAATAAGAACTTAGAGCAGTGATTACTAGAGACTGGGAAGTGTGGGAGATAGAGGAGTCTGGATATGGGGTACAAGGTGCTTCATAGCACAGATGGACAACTACAGATCACAGTAACATGTTGTGTACCATATAAAGAACTGGAGGAGAGGAACTAGTAGGCTGTAAATGTGGAGGAAAGGTAGGGAGGTGGGTATGTTGGCTGCCTGCTTTGATCAGCTTATAGCATCATATCTTTTGAAATTTTGCACTGTATCCCATAAAAATGTGCTAGTATTACTTGTTAATCAAAACATTTAAAATAATTTTTAATAAAATATATATTAGGACATATAAGTTATAATGTAGCTCTAAAAAATTACAAAGGGAAAAGAAAAATCAATAGTTACGTCCCTAAAGAAACATTAAGTGGAATAAAGAAGAAAACAAGAAGCAGCAAATGCTCTGACAATAAGCACTGGGTGCTTTCTACAACCCTACGGAACAGTAACCTGTATCATAGGGTTTGGATGTGACAAAAACCGATGAATTGATATCTACGCTGAGTCTTAACAGACCGGGAGAACAGGAGGTATGGCTCTTCAGACAGAATTGAACAGTGCAAAGGTCCAAGGATAAGAGAAAATGCAGGCCACAGTGGGAGCTGAGCAAGAAGGGCAGATAGGGACAGACCAGCTAGGGCACAGTAGGCCTCGTTTTGCAAACTAAGACATCAGTACATCTTTGTGAAGGTAACAAATAACTCTTGAAAGGTTTGAGAGCTTCATCAGCTCACACTGGCTGACTCAAGAAGCAGGTACACATAAGAGGACACCAACATTTCTACTTGGGTAAGTAGATGGACAGGGACACAGAAGTGACACAGAAGGAGGAGCCAAGATTGTTCTAGGACATGCTGAGTTGAAGTGTGTGTAAGGACATTTAGTAGTCAGCTGGCTATATGAGAACAATTTGGGCTGAAGATAAAGATGTGAGAGTCAGGACATAGGTGATGATTTAAGTAATGATTGTGGTCACCATCCAAGTGAGAACAGTAGGGAGAGGGACAAGGACAGATCCCACAATTACTAGGATCTAAGGGTGAGAAAGAGAGAGAACAATCAAGGGGGCAGATAACAGAGATAATGAGGAGACCAGTGTACACAGCATACTAGGTCACTGTGACCTGGCATTATCCTAAACTAGTTTTCAGGTTCCTGATGTTTATGTCAGTCCTCTAGCTACTATGTTCATGCCTTTACCCCATGTGGCTGTGAGACTGTAAAACACTTGTAGCTCTGAGACACATTATCTGTTACCTGAACTTAAGTCAATCACTGGTTTGAACCCCAAAACTTGCCCTATCACTGCTTTGATAAATACTCAGGATTTTGGCCTTTATTGAGACCTTGATTTTTGGCGTTTTCATTGTGCCTACTTGTTTCTCTGTGGGACTGACTTGGTTTTATACCTGAACCTGTTATCTATAAATGCCCAGCCCTGGGAAAATACTCTGGTTATACTTTCAGGATTATATATCTAGACTTCATCTGAATCCTTAAATTCTGCCTGGAATAATAAATAAGCCTTCCTTTTTTTTTAACTTTTATTTAATGAATATAAATTTCCAAAGTACAGCTTATGGATTACAATGGCTTCCCCCCCATAACGTCCCTCCCACCCACAACCCTCCCCTCTCCCACTCCCTCTCGCCTTCCATTCACATCAAGATTCATTTTCGATTCTCTTTATATCCAGAAGATCAGTTTAGCATACATTAAGTAAAGATTTCAACAGTTTGCTCCCACACAGAAACATAAAGTGAAAAATAATAGATGATTTTTTAAATGATGATGAAATCAGATCAGACCTATTGTCATGTTTAATCCCAATGAGAGTCAAGTTGGGAATTGATAATTTCTTCTTTTTTTTTTTTTTTTTTTTTTTTTACAGAAGATCAGTTTAGTATACATTAAGTAAAGCTTTCAACAGTTTGCACCCCCATAGAAATACAAAGTGAAATATACTGTTTGAGTACTCATTATAGCATTAAGTCTCAATGTACAGCACATTAAGGACAGAGATCCTACATGAGGAGTAAGTGCACAGTGACTCCTGTTGTTGACTTTACAAATTGACACTCCTGTTTATGGCATCAGTAATCTCCCTATGCTCCAGTCATGAGTTTCCAAGGCTATGGAAGTCTTTTGAGTTCTCCAACTCTTATCTTGTTTAGACAAGGTCATAGTCAAAGTGGAAGTTCTCTCCTCCCTTCAGAGAAAGGTACCTCCTTCTTTGAAGACCTGTTCTTTCCACTGGGATCTCACTCACAGAGATCTTTCATTTAGGGTTTTTTTTTTTTTTTTTTTTTTTTTTTTTTTTTTGCCAGAGTGTCTTGGCTTTCCATGCCTAAAATACTCTCATGGGCTTTTCAGCCAGATCGGAATGCCTTTAGGGCTGATTCTGAGGCCAGAGTAATAAGCCTTGCTTGACATGACCTGGGACCCAAGCCCCATAGCTAAAACAAAGGTCAAAAATCCACGTATGAAGCATCATAGGTAAGGCTTGAAATGGAAAAGCCTCTCAGAATTACCTAGAAAACAAAAAATGAACCCTACTGCAGTAGAGACCATGTCAGGACATACATGGCCACCTAAATACCTGTGATGAGAACCACTAATGCCAACTATCTTGAGTAGGCTGATGTGCCTGGATGACAGGTCTGTATCAGTAAATCCTGAAAACACGAAACATCACATTTCATTTTAGGTTAATTACCATAAAATCTAGCAAGTATTGTTAAAAATTTCAAGAGGAATAGGGAAACTAAGAGTTTTTAATATAACTCCATGAATTTTTAAAAACCAGTGCACTTACCAACATGGATGTTATCTTTAAATGCCACGTCATGGAGCTGAAATATCAGATGGCGGCTAAATTTTTCATCAGTGCTAGAATCCAAGTTGAAAACATCTTCAGCTGAGCAACTTACACTATATAAGTCCCGAAGAGCTCTACAGACATGCTAAAAACACAAAGCGTAAATACTTCAATTTTTTTTAAATTTTCTATGAACAAAATTCAAGTATCTTGGTACCAGTAAGTTTAACTAATACAAAATCATTAAAAATTAGCTTCACTAGCCAGTGCCGCGGCTCACTAGGCTAATCCTCCAACTTGCAGCACCGGCACACCGGGTTCAAGTCCCGGTCATCGGGCGCCGGATTCTGTCCTGGTTGCCCCTCTTCCAGGCCATCTCTCTGCTGTGGCCCGGGAGTGCAGTGGAGGATGGCCCAAGTGCTTGGGCCCTGCACCCGCGTGGGAGACCAGGAGAAGCACCTGGCTCCTGATCAGTGCAGCACGCCAGCCGTAGCGGGCATTTGGGGGGTGAACTAACGGAAGGAAGACCTTTCTAACTCTGCCTGTCAAAAAATAATTAGCTTTACTATCAGGTTGTGTACAATATAACCTTACTAATTTATTTATAAACTGAAGACCTGTAATTTTTAAATTATGTTTATATTTTTTAAAAATCAGGCTCTCAGGATTGAAGAGGCCTCTTAGCAGCCAAACAATTTGTACATTAACCTCCTCTACAATCACATTAAAAATATTTTAAGCATCTCTTTAAATGTCACCTCTGAGTTTAAAAGTTGTTTTTATAGTTCCAGTTCGCAGAAAATTTCTCATTCATATTGAACCCAAAACCACTTCCAAGAAACCACCTTTGGTGCTAGAAGACACTGACACGGAAAGCAGTCATGCATTGTGGAAAGGCAGCAAGCACATACTTGGAACAAAAGATTTGAAGTCAGAGATCTAAGTTTGAGTTCTGGTTTTGACGTTTACCACCTCTAACTTTAATCAAACCCACATACATTCATCAACTGCTAAGCAGGAAAAATAGCAGCTAACTTTGGAATCATGAAAGGAGTAAAATAAGAAAACGAGATTAAAGAGTTAGCACAGTGCCTGGCACATGTAAGTGCCTAGAAGTATTGGCTATGCAACCTTAAGACAAGGCACTTCTCCCTAGGCTTCAGTCTTCTCATTTGCAAAATGAAGTCACTAAGAACCTCCAGATAGGATTATTTTGAGATTAGCCAAAAGGTTTAGTACCACCAAATACTTCGATACCCAACAGTTACACAATATATTAGAATTATTAGCTGGGGCTGGCACTGTGGCAGAGCAGGTTAATGCCCTGGCCTGAAGCGCCGGCATCCCATACAGGGCAGTGGTTTGAGACTCAGCTGCTCCACTTCCAATCCAGCTCTCTATTATGGCCTGGGAAAGCAGTAGAAGATGGCCCAAGACCTTGGGCCCCTGCACCCACATGGGAGACCTGGAAGAAGCTCCTGGCTCCTGATTGGCACAGCTCCGGCCATTATGGCCCAATGGGGAGTGAACCAACAGGTAGAAGACCTCTCTCTGCCTCTCCTCTGTGTAACTCTTTCAAATAAACAAATCTTTAAAAAAAAAAACTAGCATCACTTTGGCATTATTTTAGCACCACACTCCCCTTCATACTTTTCAATTCTCATATTCTCAAAAGGTGGCCTCAGTGTCCCAGTCTGCATCAAATTCCCCCATGTAGTCCAACTCACTTTCTAGTACTTAGTTACTATTTTACTTGATCATTTACTTGATTGTCTTGATGTTTCCTCTGTATCACAGAGGTTATCCCCCAACATCTAATTTCTCCCTCTTCCCTAGAAACAGAACCACAATTTTTAGCTAAATGGAGGCCAGCTAGAACAAAGATACTTCCCCCACTCTGTTATAATAGGGCACAGGCATGTGTCCAAGTCTTGCCAGTAGGGGGTCAGAAGAAGGTGGTTTGCCACTTTAGGCTTCATTCTTAAAGGGGAGACGTAGGCGCGGCTCTTCTCCATTCAACTGACTAGAAGGCAGACAACTTGGGGTGAGCCACCTTGGACAGTATCAATAAGGCAACATCTTAGGAACAGCAAAGCAAAAGACTAGTCCCTAACAGTGGAGCCACACTGGATGTTACATGAGACAGAAATAAGGTTGTATCTTGTTTAAATTACATCTACCCTAGATTAGATTATAAATTCCTTGAACTCAAACTTTAAGCTCACTATTATATTCCCAAGGCAAGGCACTGTGTCTGATGCTTAGCAAAACTTGAAAATAGTTTACTAAATGAATAAAGCTGAGTTGTTAGCTTTGGAAATACAGAGAATAAATTTAGGTACCCAAGGTAATATAAGTAATCACACTCTATTAGATTCTCTTTCTCAAGTGAAACTTTAAGTAAACATTTTTTCGGAGTTACAGAGAGGTAGAGCCAGATTGAGAGAAGTCTTCCATCCGCTGGTTCACTCCCCAGATGACCACAGCAGCCAGAGCTGAACTGATCTGAATCCAGAGAGCCAGGAGCTGCTTCTGGGTCTCCCACGCGGATACAAGGGACAAGGACTTGGGCCATCTTCTACTGCTTTTCCAGGCCATAGCAGAGATTGGACGTGCAGCAGCCGGGACTCGAACCAGCACCCACATGGGATGCTGGCACTTTGGGCCAGGGCTTTAACCTGTTGTGTCACAGTGCTGACCTCTACATAAACATTTAAGTTCTTTAAATGTAAACATAAAATCATTGTGGAATATAGTACGGAGGTTCCTCAAAAAAGCTAAAAATAGAACTACCATATGACCCAGGAATCCCTCTTCTGGGCATATATCTAAGAGAAATGAAATCGATCTGCCAAAGAGCTAACTGCATGCCCGTGTTTATTGCAGCACTACTCACAATAGCCAGGTGTCCATCAGCGAATGCATGGATAAAGATGTGGGGTATATATCACTATTACTCATCTATAAAAAAAAAAGTCTTGTCATTTCCAACAATGTGGATGCAAGTGGAGGTCAGTATGTTAAGTGAAATAAGCCAAGCACAGAAAAACAAGTATCATATGATCTCATTCATATGTGGACTCAAAAAATTAGGTGATCTCACAGAAGTTAAAAATATAATATTGTGGTAACAGAGGCTAGAGTAGGAAGTGACAAGGGAGGGATGGGCAAAGGTTGATTGATGGGTACCAGGCTATAGCTAGATAGGAATAAGAAATTCTGGGGTTCTATTACACAGTGGGCTGCAGATAATATTATTTGACTGTATACTTCTCTATTTAAAAAGCAGAAGATGGGATTTTTCCATGTTTTCATGGGAAAGAAATGTTAATGCTGGAAAAGATAACTCCCCTGACTGGACATTATACAACCACATACATCACGGAACACACATGGTACCCCATAAGTATGTACACATGTCTATGCCTTTAACTTTTTGAAAATACTTTATAAAGAAAATTGTATTTAAATAATTTATAGAATCCAGAAGTTAAAAATGTGTGATTGTAGAGGAATGCTACCTGTTGAAAGGCTTTATAAAAGTGGAGCAGCCGGGACCCGAACCAGCACCCACATGGGATGCCAACACTGCAGGTGGCAGCTTTACCTGCTACGCCACAGCGTCTGCCCCATCTACACATTTTTAATACAACTTCATAGAATATAATCTTTAAATTTTTAAAAAATAATCCTAATAGAACTTAGCTGTTCAAACCCACATTATCCTTTTTAGTAACTTCCTGTTTGACACAGCTAAATTAAAAATACTAGAACTACATTCTTTTTTTGAAAGTTGCTAACAGTGACAATGGTATTTCTAAACAAGGTTTTGTAAACAACTAGCTGCAGAGCACTGGGTAGGAGTCTCTTCTAGGTCTTTCCTCTTTCATGAAGGTACAAGAAAAAAATGCTTTCCAGAATTCCTGCCAGTTCAAACATTCTGATACTACTTTTAGTCCAAGCTTCCTTTAAGTTCATTTCTGTATCAATTTTTATAGTACAATTACTTTGCCTGATCTTTACCAGCATTGGCTATATGTGATGGAGTTTAGAGAATTAACATGTTACTGCAAACCGCAGATAATCCCAACATTTCTATCTTTATGAAGGCTAAAAGAAAAAAATTCACTTGAGAGGCAGAGTTAAAGAGAGAGGGACAGAGAGAGGTCTTTCATCTACTGGTTCACTCCCCAAATGGCCGAAACGGCTGGAGCTGGGCTGATCTGAAGCCAGGAGCTTCTTCTGTGTCTCTCACACAGTGCAGGGCCCACACACTTGGGCCATCTTTTACTGATTTCCCAGGCTATCAGCAGGGAGCTGGATCAGAAGCAGAGCAGCCGGGACTTGAACCAGCGCCCATATGAGATGCTGGTACCACAGGCAGATGCTTAAACTACTACACCACAGCGCCAGCCCCTCAAGGCTTTTTTTTTTTTAATCCAGGTATAGTAATAGTACAAAATATGTGGACATAAGTTGGACTTTTCACAGTTTACCACAGAAGTGATATTTAAAAATCAAAGTCACAAGGAAAAGTCCCAAGAAAAGGAGGAGAAACGTTACGTAGATAGGACTGAGTAACTGAATGAAGAGATGAATGGACAGCTACAAAGAAAAAAAACTTGAGTCTCCCATTTACCTCAATGAGTAATGCAACCATCTTTTTCCCGTCAGCTCCTGGATTGGCAGGTTTGTTAAATTCCAAATCAAAATAAAGCTTGCACACAGCACTTTCAGGAATAACTTCATAGCAGTGCAAGAGATTTTTTCTAAATTGAATAATTCAAAAGTATTATTTATATTTGTACCTTTTAAATGATGGAAGTTGATCTGATCAAGTACTGTGTTAACTATGCTTAAGTACAGGTAACTAGGAAATAATGACAAGATAACAAGAACCTGTTCACAACAGGTTTCCGGCTCATAGCGTCAACAATTTCTATTAAATAAGATTCAACAGTCATACTCAGTTAACATTACTTAACTGGAAAACAGTCAATCCTATAGTGTTATGCATTACACAGATGATTTTGATCATGTATAATATTTCTGTATTTTGTTTTGGTGTCACTATGAAATAAATTGAGAAAACAATGTTCTTTCTCAAACTGGGATCCCAGAAAGACATACTCTTGGGATTCCACGAATTCTCCATAAGAACTGTAAAATTTTATGTTAGGAAGATAATATTTTTAAAGTGGTAAAAAATTCTAAATTAGCTGATTTCAATAAACTTCCAGTGCTCATATTTCTAGTTCTATTCTTGTTGGTGTACAGAGGATGACTTTCACATGGCTTATTAAGAATAGACACTAGCCTAGTAAATAAATGATATGTGGGCTAAGTCAAGTTCAGCTGGCCTCCTTTACAAATAAAAGGTTTGCAGTAATTTGAAGAAAAGTGAAAGAATTGTATCATCACATGGCATGGGTAGGATTGGATCTCAACACATACTCTGAAGCAGTCAGCATCATCTTTATATTGCACGAAGAGATTTAGTTTCAGCAAAATATCTTTCATGTTATCTTAATGACTTTAATTCAGCTCCACCTGGCACTGCATGTATGTAGACATAAGTACATCTACATGGTGTTGCATGTTTACAAACACAAAACTACTCAAGCAACTTTGTAATAAAAGTACTTTTAAGTCAATACAAGGCATCCATATTGACTCTTTTCCATACACAAGTCTGAAGCATAGTTGAATAGGCCACTCATATAAAGCAGATATTACATAATGTGAGTATTCATTTATGATTAATAGTACAATTTAATATATATCTGAAAAAGGATTTCCTTTGGATACATGAACAGGTGTTTGTACGATTTTCTTCAACACTTGGTGAGACAACTGCGTGATGCCATGAGGAGAACTGCAGAGAATTAATCTGGAAAGAAATAACTAACCATGTAGTCAAGAACTGTGAAAGCTAATCCAGACTCAATTTCACAAAAATTTTAGATTTGGTAAATATAACTTTAATGTGTTGTTCTGTTACAAACAACTTACTGGGATTTATAGTAAAACCAAAGCTGAGCATAGGTTGTTACAAGATAAATACGTTGTCCATCTCCCATTTTGTATTCCAAAGCAAATATATGAACATCCTATATAAAATAAAAAATATTCAAAAAAGTAAAAAAAAATCTAAATTCAACTGTAGCTACTTAATGTTCATAAAGAATTTTATTCAATTTTCAGATTTTTTAAAATACCAGGTTCTGAAACAGAAGTTCAAAATTGATTTATTTGAAAGGCAGAGTTATAGACCGAGATCTTCCATCCACTGGTTCATTCCCCAAATGCCTGCAAACTCAAGTTTAAGAAATCTTATAGATCTATAAAAAATTTAAAATGAGGCAATTACCTGTTTACAGCTTTTAATGAAATTAAAAGCTTCAGTTTGACGACGAAATAGCTTCCAAATGGAGGGTGGTTGCTCTGGCCTGGACAGGCTTGGTCTATACACTGAGCACAGTGGTTTCCTCTTGTAATGAGATGCTCGCTCCTCAATCTGCTTCAGTTTTTCTTCCCACTTTCTATTCATTGGTTCAGAAGGCAAGAACAATTCCTACGCCATGTGATCTTTCTATCGATTACTGCTAAAAGCAAAAAGACTATTAGTTTCTTTATTTAGAATTTTTGTTTGATTAGATTTCAAAACTCATTTCCTGGCACTTATTTTCTTGTGGGCTTTATATTTTATTCTTTGGATGGAGGTTTGTTTGTTTGTTTGTTTGTTTTTTGACAGGCAGAGTGGACAGTGAGAGAGAGACAGAGAGAAAGGTCTTCCTTTTGCCGTTGGTTCACCCTCCAATGGCTGCCGCCTCTGGTGCACTGCGGCCGGCGTGCCGAGCTGATCTGAAGCCAGGAGCCAGGTGCTTCTCCTGGTCTCCCATGCGGGTGCAGGGCCCAAGGAATTGGGCCATCCTCCACTGCACTCCCAGGCCACAGCAGAGAGATGGCCTGGAAGAGGGGCTAACCAGGACAGAATCCGGCACCCCGACCGGGACAAGAACCCGGTGTGCCGGCGCCGCAAGGCGGAGGATTAGCCTATTGAGCCAGGGCGCTGCCCTATGTGCCAATGTTAAACCATGGTGCTGTCTAAAATACATCATTGGTTTTCACATTTAATCATCAAATTGTTGTATATATCTTTATACTTACAAGGGTTTCCAAATAGTTTACTCAAACAAACCAACTGATTAAGGTAGATTTTATTCTTACTTTCTTAAACACTTCCTATGTCAGTATTGCATTTTTCAGAGTTTCAACACAATTAGTATTATTTTAGCTATTATTTTATGAAACTCTAAACCATACAGATTTTGCATGCAATATTGTAACACAGATTATCTTTTAATGTAATGCACCACTTTAAGAGATTAAGGAAAGAGAAAAGAGTGACCATATTAACAGATAAAACAACTCTTTTCAAGTCAAACAAAATCTTAACACATTTAGAATAAATGGGAATTTCCTTGATACTTACGAAAACATACATTTCATGATGAAACACCGAAAAATTCCTTTAAATTTTGAAACTAGGTAAAAATGTTAATTATCTTATTTGAGGTCTTCAATGCAAAAAATACAAAAAAGAAAACCTATTGATTTGAAATGCTATCTTATACATATCTATACATACACAAATCTCATGATATGTTCAAATATATGCAAGCTTTCTGCAAAAGCATGCTAAATGAGAAATTCAGAATTAATTTCAAAAACCAAAGAAATAAATTGAAATTTAAAAAAAAATTGAAATTGATTTATCTGTTTTCTCATACTATCCCTCCACAACTTATGATTATAAAAAGGAAATGACAAAGAATTATGAGATTGTAGAGACTGGTTAATAGCTTGCTTTGATGAGAGTGGATAATATATGTGCATTTCACCCAAGCTCTACAATGAAATTGATAAGGAGAGTGCATCCTATATGCCAAGATGCCAAAAGAAGAAGGCCCTCAATGTCACTACTTGAAGAATTTGATATATGACCCTGAAATTTAGAACACACATGGTCCACTGGCTGTCTACTGGATAGAAATCTAGAAAACATAAGAGGAGAGGTGACAAGCTGCTTGAGTGAGGAATGAAAATTAGGTGACTTATTTAAGGTCAGCCTGTGTCCCAGAGTTTGCTCCGTTTTCAGGGGGATTAGTGCTTTCCAAGAATGAGATATGAGCCTTGGAGAAGAAAGATCTGGCTTACAGCTGTTTTGACCCCTGTCTAAAATGATCAAATGGTGATGTTTAAGTAAGGCTATGCCACTCTGAATACTTAGAGACTAAAGCCTAGTACAGAAATAGAAGTTTCTGATAGTTTTAGTAAGAGGGGAACCAGAAGGGGCTTCTGTGGAACTTGTGAAAGCACATTACAGTGACTTTAAACATCTGCCAGGCTCAAGCTGAATAAAGCCAAACATAAAATTTGTTTTAAGTTAAAGCACTCAGACACCTTAAATTTTCTTTCAAGTAATTGAACAAATAATCGTTTTTTTTTTAATTTAAAAAATTGGCAAGATAAATTTTAAGAACAGATTTCGTGATAGGAAATTTCCACACCTGATGTCAAAACTTATTTTAAAGACATAGCAGGGATGGGCATTTGGCACAGTGATTAAGATGTCATGGGTTGTTTCTGTTCCATGTAAGAGTGCTCTTTGAGTTCTGGCTGCTCCACTGCAGATTCCCTGAGAGACAGTGGATAATGACCCAAGCCTTGGTTCCCTTCGACCTACATGGGATACCTGGGTTGAGTTCCAGGTTCCCAGTTTGGGCTGGCTGCAGCTTCACATGTTATGGGCATTTGGGGTGTGGACCTGCAGATCAGAGAACTCTATCTGGCACACTCTTTCTCCCTCTCTCTTGCCCTGTCTTTCTGCCCTGCAAGTAAGATCAAATAAATAAGTATAAGAAAGAGGTCACATAATTCATCCATGTATGAGGATCCTTCAAAAACTTAAGATGAAATTGGAGTTAAAGATAAATTTATTTGGTACAAAACTATTTTGAAATCCATGCATAGCTTTTCAAGACACACATTTTTCATTAATTTTTTTTGTGAGCCCCTCGTGTGTATTGATTTTAAATTTTATTTTGCAACAGAAGAAACATGTTTTATGTTCAATATCTATGACCTTTTTGAAGTCCATGGATAATACATTTACAAAAGCTATGTTAGAAATCAAAGGAAAACAATGGTCTATTGACTCCAGTTAATAAATTATCCTAGAATAACTGGGAATAGGGGATGTAGAGCCTCATTCACCTCACATAATGCATAAAATAAATTCCTGGTGAATTAAAAACAGTGATTTCAGGATAGAAATATAAAACTTATTGAAAATCGAATAGGAAAATATTATTAACTAAGAGTGAAGACAATTTTTTCTCTTGAAAAAGATAACAGAAGAATGCACTAAAAAGAAAATATTGAGTAAATTTTGATTTTGTTAACATTACAAATCCCAACACAACAGATGACTGCATAAACAAAGAGGGGGGAAATGCTGTAGAGTATGAAAAGATATGTACAATACTGGGATCTATAGACCAGCTTTTAAACTAGAAAAAATAGCAGTTGATGTGAGAAGATAGCTGAATGGCCAGCAAACACATGAAAAAAATGTGTTGACTGGAGCTACATTTAAATACTATTTGACAACTGCTGGATCCCAAGGAATGCTAACATCTAGTAATATCAATGTGGGTAAGGATGTGGAGACATAGAAAATCTTATATACTATTGGTTGG